CCCTAAACCCTAAACCACAAACCCAGGTGAGCAAGCGATGCCTCGCCACGTATGGGAAACCAAAGGTAAGACCCTTGGGCGAAGCATCGTGTGGGCCGTATACAAGAGCCTGGGCTCCAGTTGAGGTACTGAGTTTAAGTTAAAATAACTTAGGGTTGCTTCAAGGGTTCTAGGTAATAAAGGGCTTAGTCTTGGGTTAACGAACTGAGTTCAAGCCGCCATATAGTCAAGAAACTCTGGTTTCCTTTTTGTGGAAGTTTGAGCCCTAAACCCTAAACCCTTAACCGAGCAAGAACCCAGGAGTCTCTGGCTGTATGCCGTCTGGTACTACGCCGGATGGGAGCACCTCAAGTTGTGGCTCTTGGCATGTCGCATCGCGAACGGCGGTGGCCTTTTCATCTTCCACAACCTCCTGCACCAAGAGCCGTAGCAGCGTAAGTCTCCTTTAGCCGTTTTGGGGGTACCATAATCCCTCTACGTGCCTCAACCCTAAACCCTAAACCNNCCTAATCCCTAATCCCTAAACCCTGATCCCTAAACCTTGATCCCTAAACCTAAACCCTAAACCCTAACCCCAAACCCTAAAGCCCCTCAACCCCGAGTAAGGAGCCCGTCTACTCAGATGGCTTGCCCTTCGCCTCGAACGTTCCGAGCCTCTTTTCCTTCGTGTGGCGAGTGATCCTGGGAGAGGACCTTCTCAACGCAGCTCATCCGCTCTTGAACCTATTCCCTAAGCCCTAAACCTTACTCCCTACACATTCGTAAGAAGTATGGTATACAGTCTTAGGAAGGGAGTCAAGTTTTCGAAGGGCCTCGAAGCGCAGCAGAGGCAGTGGTGTACCACAAACACCACCATCACCACCCCATCGTTCCAGTGGAGGCGCTGGACGTGGCTTCTCCAAAGAAGAATGTCAAGTGATCCGATGGGCTTTCGTTTTCGTCCCCGGACTTCGCAGGTGAGTTGTCCCTGTGACCTTTTTAAGGCTGTATCTTGTGGAAGCAGCTGAAAGGTGGTCCGAGGACATTTAAGAAAGATTGAGCGTGCTGGCTTTGGCTGTCGCGTGCCGGTGACTCCTTGATCGTTCGTGCCGAGCAGTCCTCCAACCCCAGGCCCTAAACCCTAAACCCTGAACCCTAAACCCTAGATCCTAAACCCTCAATCCTAAACCCTCAATCCTAAACCCGAAACCCTAAAGCCCATTGCGCGGACGAATGTTCTCGTTGTCGACTCTCGGCGACCCGATCGACAGATAAACCCCCCAAGTCATGTCTCCTGGATCAAGCAGTGCATGAAGGATCAACCCAAGCACCCTTTGTCCTCCCAAAGTGGGCTGACGCATCTGACAAAGCAACTTGGATTTTCAACAGTAACTTTGACAGTCCATGCCTTGTCCTACTGAGTGCCGTCAGCCAGCAGGATTATCCAAAGTCAGTGCCCCATGAAGCTCGCTGTCAATGTTGCTCCCGCCTCACCTCAAACCTTGGCTGCAAGCCGTCGAGACCCAGCCTGAAACATTCCTGATTTGCGGTTCAAGTTTCAAGGCAACCAGTGTAGATAGAGCACAGTCTTATGCTGCAGCCTCGAACGGAGCACCGCAAGCCTGGGTTGCGGATTCCAAGACCCTCGATCCTTAAATCTAAACCCTTTGCTGTAACCTCCCACCCCTAAGCCTCGAACGCCACTTCTTCGCAATGAGCCCCAGGGTTTAGGGTTTAGGGTTTTAGGGGTTTAGAGCTTTAGGGCCTTAGGGCTTTAGGGCTTTAGGGCCTTTGGGTTTAGGGTTTAGGGAACCCTAAAACCCCTAAACCCTAAAACCCTAAAACCCCTAAACCCTAAACCCTTAAACCCTTAAACCCTAAAGCCCTACAACCCCTAAAACCCTAAAACCC